AGCATGAGCTTTTGTAGACTACAGTCTACTTCCTCAGATGCATTTGGATTTGGATTTGCGTTACTTCCCAAATAACATCTGAGGAAGTAGACTTAAGTCTAGGTAAGCTCATGCTGCCAACTTCTTTCTTTCAGTTAGTCTCAAAGGTGCTACAAGACCTCTCTACATACAGTTGGCTTTTATGCATCGTGAGAATGAAGCCCTAGAGGAGTTGGCCATCAAGAAGGTTGAATTTTGCAAAGGCATGAGGAACAGAGTGGGGGACTTTGGTTGGCTAAAGGAGTGCATTGAATTAACTCCTGGTTTGGCATTTTCTCCTCCCTCTGTGCACCACTCCTAATTTATTTTTTTAATCATGGAAAAGCGTCTTCCCGAACCCGGTGCCGTAAACTCTTTATTTTGCTAGTGGCGGTGAGCAGCCCTGTGGGCGTCATTGCAATTCAAGCAAACGTGGGTACGGTCCCCCCTCCGAACGTGGCTGGTTTCTTTCAAAATAAACCCGGCGCTGGCTTTTGACAAGCTCTAATGAAAAACAAATTGTTATATTACTTAGAAAAATAATTTGAAGGAAGCCTGAATTAGTTGCCGAGGTGGGAAAGTTTCGGCTACTTGAAAATAGGGGTTTGGGGAAGGTTATTTATTTTAAAATGCTGGGCCAGCCTGCTCTTGGTAAGAGACAGCCTTGTTTGTTTCAGGGCTCACCTCACCTGAGACGTGAATCATACTTTTTTAATCATGATGTGAGTCTGACAGATTGGGAACGGCCGCGGGAACAGGACTCTTAGCGGTCCCAGGATGGTGGCGAAGTGGCTGTTGGGTCATGGATTGGTAGGGCATCCCATTAATCTAAGAGCAGATTTGCTTAGAAAAATGAAAAGGAACAACTTCATTTAAAAAGAAAAACGTCCAACAACTGTCCAACATAAGTCATTTCCAACTTATGGCGACCCTAAGGAGATCCTATCACAGTGTTTCCTTGTCAAGATTTGCTCAGAGGAGGTTGCCATTGCCTTCCCCTGAGGCTGGGAACGTGTGACTTGCTCAAGGTCGCCCAGTGGGTTTCAGGGGATCGAACCCTGGTCTCCAGTCACAGTCCAACACTCTAACCACTATGCCACCATACCAACCTAGAAATAAAGATGTAACTATTTGTCACTTTTTGAGAGGCTGTTCCAGAACAAGACTTCAGCATCTGGTTAGCTTTGTTACGCAATCGAGGATACTCTGTCCAGACATTCACAAATATGGCACTGCGATTCCACTTTAACTTCCATGGCTGCATCCTATTGGGATTTGTAGTTGGGTGAGGAACTGGAGATCTTTGGCAGGGAATTATAAATTCTGGAGATCTTTGCCGTCAAGTCAGACAACAACAACTACAATACCTTATAGCTTCATAAGGTATTTAGGATTCCCTGCCAAAGACCTCCAATGCCTTCAAGTTGTTTTTGACTTAATGGTGCTCCTAAGGTAAACTTTTCACAGGGTTTTCTTGGGATGATTGGTTCAGAGAAAGTTTCCCCTTGCCTTCCCCTGAGGCTGAGAGAGTATGACTCACTCAAGGTCACCCAAATGGGTTTCATGACTGAGAAGGGAATCAAACTCTGGTCTCCAGTGTTGCAGTTCAACACTCAAGCCACTATGCCACTCTGCCTTTCAATTCTGTTTTAATGTTGCCTTTTTGCATGTGTTTAATGGAATTGTAATCATTTTAATTGGTAACCTGCCTCTACTCCCAATCTTATGAAAAAGGCAATGCGTAAGATGACAATGATGATGTCCCTTCTTCTTCCTTTGAAATCTCTGACCCACCTGTTCTTACCCCAGAATTTAACTTTGCAACCCTGCACCTGTTCCTTAAGACTGTACATCTCAAGGGCAAATCCAAGATCCAAGTCCTGCCAGAAGTCTGCATTGCAGACAATTATTTCACCTGGGCAAGTCTTGACTTCAGAGGAGAGGTGTTTATCCCCTTGCTTTGTTTTTATACCTCTATGGGGATCCGGGCTTTTGATGCCGGACCTCCTTTGGGATATCATTTACTCTCCGTAGCCGGAAAAAAGTGACTTTTCTGGCAGCTGTTTTTCCTGCAGTGCTTCAGCAACCAGATTTTCGGTGCTCTCGTCCTCTCCGGTATTGCTTTCTGAAAATGGGAAGGAGATCAGAGCTAGCTAGACACAGCTCTTCTCATTTCATGGCACCTCTTGACAAAGTGGAAAGCTCATTTAAAGTCAAGGCCACATGGCATCTTTCAAACATTGGGATTTTCCAGGCATCAACACCGCACATGACATTTTGCTAGTTTGCTCCAATTGCTTATTCGTTTTATTGTGTTATCAAAATCGTGGAGAGAGCACCTCTCTAGGAATCTCTAAGTCGTCCAGTACAACTCTGTAGCCATAATCTGCTGGAAGATTATCATAGACATGCTGGAGGACCTACAAATGCCTAAAAAAAGTGCTTTCTCTAGCACAACTCTATGGTCAACGTCTGACAGAGTCACACTGGAGGACCTAGAGATTCCTAGAGAGAACCTATTAATCCAATCTGCAAAATTCAAAGCTGCAAACGTGGAGGGCCAACTGTAACAACACACATTTATCTTGCATTTTGAATTGCTCAAAGGATTTTCTCTCTGCCCTGATGACCAAAGAAGCCATTGTTTTTCTTTCCCAAGGGAAAGAGTGGTTGAGAGAGATAACTTGGTAGGACCTTGAAGTCCTACTGTTCAAAAAGAACCTTTTCATATTTAACTCCATGTTTATAGTTGGCTTTAAAGATCCACCTCACATGGGATCCCCACATATATACTATACAAGGCTACAATATATTTAAAAAACCAAATTGGATTGTTACAGAAAATACATCCTTTTACTTCTTGGCTAACCCCGACACATCTGGATGCTGTCTCTTGTGGGCCACCAATCTGTTTTGCCCTGGGAGTTTTTCTCTGTCTTCTCTGCAGCCCCTGTGATCCCATCTCTCTCCTTCTTTATCTGTTCGCTTTGGTTGCATCAGGAGCAGATCTAATAGGACGGGAAGGGAATAATAAGACCATCCAGATGTGGCCAGACTGCCACCCCCAACAGCCCTACCCAGGGGGAGAAGGGAAGAGAAGAATCATGGCCATTCACACCATGTGTCTGCCTGAGAAGTGGAACTGCGGCAAGAGGGACTTATCACACAAAGGCAGTAATAGAATAGTAGCAAGATTGAGAGCCGATTGATGGGTTTTGCCCATCAATGAAAAAGTGCATGATAGTAGCGAACTGAATGCAAGGGAGCAGCAGAATGGACACGACATTGTGTGATAAGTACCGGCCAAAGATGCCTGTTCTAGCCTTGTGTGATAAAAGTCCTTGGGGATGTTATTTGAACGGCATTATCTCTGCAACTGTGCCTAATGCTTGATACATCAATTGCTTGACCCAATCAGAGTGCCTCCATTGATGCAACAGTGGAATGACAAGTACATGCTTAGGTAAATACTTTCAGTTCAGTGGTTCTACTCTAGTATGAACTGACAATACAATTTCAGATGGCGCATCCTATGGAAACACAAGAGAGACAGAGAGAGATGTAACTTCAGTCTCAAAGCTTATGGGGGCAGGGCTTGGCATCTTTCACGCCAGGTCCTCATGGAAATTAGAGGCTGTGGTCAGGTCTGTGGCTCTCTTCTTCCTGCCCCGGGGGCTGTTTCCATCACAGCAGGAACATAGATGTCTTGTGACTGATTTCCTGACCTCAAATCAGTGTGATACAGCTGGAAAGGGAGGCCCAGCTGAACACAGGCCAGGTTGGACTTGCCTCCTGTCCCTTTGGCACTTCAGCATAAACACGTTGGTTTTGCAGAACCCTCTGGGTTTCTTTGGAGCTGTCAGAACAATTTGTGCTGCACAACTGTAGACAAACCACAAGAAAACAATTTGTGTCCCATGTTCTTAATGTGAAGAAGCAAAAGGCACAGAGAGCCAAGGTTTCCCGGCAGTCTATGTGTCCCCCCACCCCATGTACTTTCCCCCAAATCTGTCACACCTGGATGTAATTGTATGTCTTCTTTTAAAGGAAATGTCGCTGATTATACTTCATTGTTAAAAGGACTGAATTTATTTCAGATATTTGTAGAGTCCAAGTTTTGCACAAAGGTAGGCAAATGGTAAGCAGCATGCGTCCAGCCAGGACCTTTTTTGTGCCTCCTGGGTCAAATTTTGTCCCCCCCCCCAAAAAACCCAACCCCTGTAGGGTCAGGAAAGGCATTTTTCACAACAGTTTTTAGTTTTCACTGGGCTATATTATGCACATGGGAGGCCTTTTTTAAAAAATAGGAAGTGAACAAGTAGTGACTTTTGGATGACTTCCTATTGTAAAAAGGGGGCCTATCTTGGGCCTAAAATGGCCCCGGGAGGCAACCCCCTAGAGAGCAATTGTTTGCAAAAAATTGATTTGAAAGTTACTAGATCCCTGGTGATCATGTCTGATCATGGAAGCCAGGCAGGGTCAGCTCTGGTTAGTCCTGATGGAAGACCACCAACCAGTACCTGGTGCTGTAAGCTGTATTTCAGAGGAAGGAACTGGCAAAATCACTTCTGAGAATTCCTTGTCTGAGGAGACTTTATGAAAAATATCATGAGGTCACTATAGGTCACTATAAAATGACTTGAAGGCATATGCACAAATAGGGGTATACCAACATTTGCATGCACAACTGTGCAAAGCAGGATTTTTAATGCAGTTTCACAACAGTGGAGATCTTACATCACTTGATCATCGCATTAATATCAATGGGTGGAGTTATGTTATGCTAGCACTACAAAATCCCTACACAAGTCTGGCACATGCCTACATGGCAGGGGTCTTATGGTTCCTTCCAATTCTATGATTCTATGATTCTAAGAAAGCTGTTGTTGTCCTGGGTGTCTGGGACCTGAATTGGAATAAACAGTGGTTGTTGCTATTGTTATTTGCCATCAAGTTGGCTTTGACTTAAGGTGACCCTATCAGTGAGAGACCTCCAAGAAAGTTGATCATCATCATGTTGATGATTGAGCTTCCTGGAGGTCTCTTGCTGATAGAGTCACCATAAGTCAAAGCCAACTTGATGGAAAATAACAATAGCAACAACCACTGTTTATTCCAAACAAGATGACTTAGTCCCTGCAGAAAAACTGAAGCTGAACATTTCTCCCTGTTCCCGTGATGTTTCTCTTCTACATCAAAGAAGGAACTTTCCTAGAGTTGCCGAATCCATAGCGAACACCTCTTGCAATGACGTGTGGCATTCTCTTCCCACCTCTCCAGGGCTTTCCATGTCGTTTTTATGGATGGAAGCCGTGACACCTTTGCTAGGCTCCACCAGAAGTACTTGGAGATATTTTGGCACTCACCCTGGAGGGAGGGAGGCAGGCGGGCGGCTGTTGAAGGTGGAAACTTGACACTCAAGTGCTGAGTTTGGGTTAAGACCTGTAAGTTTGACAGGGCAATAAATTTCCTTCACTTCTTGTTTTTTAAAGGAGATGGAGAGACCTGTCTCTCTCTCTCTCCTTCCCTCCACACACCTCTTTTCTTTCTTTGTTTCCCTTCTTAAAAACTTGCTCCAAATTACTGGAACTGACTTGGCAGGACAAACACAGGGTTCTCCTCACTTGGGACGTGTGTGTGTGTGTGTAGTGTGCACTTGTAAAATTTGGGAGGGTGCTTTGGCTCCCTGGCTTGCCCATGACTTTCCACAGTCTGTCACTGGCTTAAATTACTCCTTGAAATTCCTTCGTTGTTCCACCTGCAACCGGGAAATCAACATGTGATGTTTATCCAAGATCGTTGCATGGAGCTGCCATTTGTATCTGGTCCCTGCTGAACCATTTTGCCAAACCACAAGAAAGTTGTCAGCTTCATACTGGTAGAAGCTGGTGGCTTCCATGTCAAAGTGTCCCAAAATTTGAGAAACCTATTTTTTTATCTGTCAGTCCCTGAACTTTGGGAACCCAGAAGAGGGGAATATTGGAGGGATGAGAATCTTTGCAATTCAGGACTTATTCTGCACAAAAATTGCAGAGGGTTGTTTTCTGCAGAAAACAGCATTTTCTGCACCGAAAACATGCAGAAAAGAGCATTGCTGCATAGAAAA